GCAACAATCTAGTTTGAACTCGAATGTTTCGGTAGTAACTCATCTCGTAAAGTTCGAATGGTGACAGCAATCCTAATCCTCACGACTAAGACTGCAGAATAATGCTTTAAATGCAAGTGCCAAGGATCGATCCATGAAAATGTGGAAGAAATGGGAAGTTTGGGGAATTTTTTGAGTGAGAGCTTCATACAAAAAAGAGAAAAAGCTTTTGTAATGTGAACAAGTTTTATGGGCTTTTATAACAAGAGAATAAAAGGACAGCTTGACAGCTGGCTGCCACTGCAACATTAGTGGCACACGCCAATACTTGCCAAACAACTGCAGAAAATGTTGCCTTATTGTTTTCGCTTCTTGGATTCAATAAGCAATGTAATTATTAGCTATGAAGCACAAATACTTTAATATCAATCAGAAATATGTGAAGAAAATGGTTTTTAGCCCTCTTATATATGAAAATAATGATTCTTTACAAAATGTTCCCCAATCGAGTCCGAATACAAAAGAGTAGAAGGAAGAAAAACCAGCAGAAATATGCTGGGGCGGCTCCCTCAAGACATGGTTGAAGCTGTCTCTTCCGAGTACTCGCTGCCAAAATCCTTGGTTTCTTCGACAACAATTGGTCGGTGTCCAGCTCCGCGACCAGCATGAGCACCACGCTGAGTTCCCCAACCTCGGCCTGCTGAAGGCGCCATGCTAGCTCTCTACATACATTCATAGATATCAGAAATTGCATTACACGCATACATGGCATATGCATTGCATATATTCTTTTTTTATTGTTTATACTTACAAAGATGGCATAAGCACCGGGTACAAATGTAGCTAAGTGGTCAGTGGTAGCCAACCCACTCCGAGCAGTAGCAATATCCTACTCCGGCCGGATAAATCTAGTGGAAAGCATGTAGTATGGAACGTCGTGAGGCACTCTCCTCCAGTCTGGGCCTAGCTCCCATTCATACACCCTCTCACCGAGGTAATACATGTCATAGAATAAACCAAGAAGGAGAAGCTGCCTCTGCTGGTACACAATGGCAGCCTGAATGAAATCTGGGTAATCAGCTACATCGCCCCATAGGCACTTCATTATAAAAAAAACAAAAACAAAAACAAAAACAAAAAAGCAAGAAGTCTCTTGCTACATGACTTTTCGGCGACGTCGGCTCCTCTCTCATCAACGGAGAAGCGCGGTCTCTCTTCCGTTCTCTCCTTTCTCTCCGGAGAACGCAGTGTCACAGGAGTTGCGATTTTGCCTCGATTGAGTAGTCGTGTCGCAGCTGTCTCCTTGGTTCTCCGGCAACCCCGATCCGACTAGATAGAGGACTGAGTTCATGCAACTAACGCCAAAATTGAACTTTTGAATGAATTTGGAGCTTGATGGTGTAAGAATTGCCCAATTATGGTGGAGTTCGAGCTCTCAACCACCGTGCACGATGGCGTCGGCGGTGGTCCAGCGACCGGCGATGAGCCTCCGGTGAGACACCAAGGGATAGAATCTTCCTCTCTTCGCGTGGATTGTGGAATCATCGCCCGAATTTTGATCGGTACACTCCAAGACCCAGTTCTAAATTTTTGGTATAAATCTCAAATTAATTTTTTAGTGGATTAAGTTGAGTTCGAATAAATAGTTCATTGAATATGATTCCTGTTAGGGATGCTCAATTGATAAACGTACTTAATTCGAAAAAATTAAGAAAACAGGTTATTTAGGAGATTTTAGCATTTTTGTTAGGTTAGATGATTGTTGAAGTAGTTATAATTAAATAACAAGAAATTAGACTATTTGAATAGCTTTATATATATATCAATAAGAATATTTGGTCTTTTATAAATAAATTAACTTTGATAAGTTACCATATATATTATATACTAATCTATATCAATAAGACATATTTGCGTCGTGTTATCAATCAAACTTACACGTATTGATAAGCTCTTATCGGTAATATGGTACGCCGAGTGCGCACATTCAAATCTATAATTGGCTTTAGAAATCTCTTTAAAGTGACCAGTATTATGCTATTTGAGAGAATTGGCATGTGCATATAATAAAATTAGAGAGCTGATTGCATACACGACCTCATCCGGGGAACTCGACTGAACGGATTTTAGCGAAAGCTGAAATTAAGATTTTTAACTGTTCAAAAATTGTGGGTCTCATATTAGGTTAACGGCCTCAGCAAGCATATAGGACAATTGTTCAACTATCTATCCGAACTACAATCCTGGATTAATTGTGGTGAATTTAGACTATTGTGGTGAAGCTTTAGTCCTCAATATATGATATCATGACTATTAGGCTATACTAAGATAAATGTGAATTGGCGTTACTCAACAGACTAGTTTGCTGCTTAATTTAAGCTACATAACTGGAACATTGTTCCATTAACGGGCTAGGTCCTGAGAGCATCTATCTATCAATTGATTACTCACCTGTACTTTGACTAAGACGTTCCGTCGAAATACAAGATATCTATTTATATCTACTATTACTTAATAACAGACGATTTAAGTTACTTCGGATGTACAAGCAAAGGTGGACTTGATAATCCAACTGTTGTAGTCAACGTGCAATGACCTCAACACTTAAAATCATATATACTTGACGCGGTTTTTTTTTTATTTTCGTGAAAATGTACAAGTTGGAATGATGGATCATCGGCTGCTTGAAGCGATGAGGAGACTGGGAAGTCTTAGTCTAGAATTCGATGTACCCGATGCGGATGGCTAGAGATTTGCTGGTTCAGTCAAATTCTCCTCGGGAAAGGTTTCGCCCGCGAATTTCGATATTAGAATCCTAGGCTGAAGTCATATTAATAATTAAGTTCTAATCACGGCTTTATCTTACGATTAACTTCTTGAAACTTGACTACCACTCTAAATAAAGTTCTTTTTGATATATAATAAATAAAGTTCTTTATTTATTTTATTTTTTTCTTATTTATTTATTTATTTTCTAAGGATCAATTATTATAATATATTGTTAATTACTAATCCTTTATTTAATTGTAATAGAATGTGAATGTCTAATTGTTCACTTGCATCATGATGTTTAATTGTTTGTTATGCTTACATTTAATTGCAACACTTGATTAATTGTGATGTGATAATGGTATGCTTTGTTTGTGTGGAGTTGGGATGAAGTGGATCACCATGGGTTTGTGAGGGCAGTCTGCGGACCATCGACCATGTATGGGGAGATCGGTGCCCCATGTGCATCTGATGATATGATGTGGATGATATGGAAAACCACAAGGCGGCCTCCTGTTGGTATGGAAAAGAAAAGAGAAAATGAAAAAATAATGAGAGGGCTAATCAAGTGAGGATTAGACCGGTCAGCCATGTATGAGGGATTGGCTCCCTAGTGCACACATCATGAGAGGATAGGCCATGTGGGAGTATGGCTCATCGGGGGTTTCAGTGACTCCACAGACCAATTTCCACGTGATGTGATTATGTGAAGGTGTTAATAATTGTGATTGATGTTGTTGTGTCATTTGCGTGATTGCCTGCATTATCATATATCTAAGCGGATGACTAGATTGATATATTTACACATTATTTACCATGGTGTGAATTGCGGTGTTAATAATTGTGATTGATGTTGTTGTGTCATTTGCGTGATTGCCTGCATTATCATATATCTAAGCGGATGACTAGATTGATATATTTACACATTTGTGTGAATGCATGTTTTGTGCAATAATTAATATTCATTAATAAACTCATATCTCTCTTGTTTAAACTTTCAGAAAGTAGATTCTTCTATGTCCCGATTAAAGCTCTATTCCCTACACCACAGAGCTAGAAAAGAATTTGCTAATTTTAGAAATTAATTCATTAAATAGTTATATGTACGAGGACTTATTTTATATTTATCTGTTAGTAAATTCCGCAGTTGTAGGAATTATGTACCTCTAGTCATGTATTAAAATAGGTACGATAATTTATGAGTCCATAGATGTTTTCATTATTTTCTTTAAGCGTATGTATTATCAGTAGCCCATAGTATGAACGAGATGTATTATCGTTAAGCTCGAAGTATGTTTTATTTGACACATCTGAGATTGGGCTAGTATTGTGTGCTTGTTAGATGTATATATATATATATATATGTTAATTTATATGGGCTTACTGTTCCTAAAATTTTGTGTGTGGCATGTATCGGTTTTGTAGTTTAGGCTTACTATGAGTCTCGGGAGCTTTAAGCTTACCTTGGCCTTACTGCGAGTTCGGGCTATAAAAACAGGTCGTGACAATAAATTAAATTATGTCAGTTAGAATCCCTATTTATTCAACAGGATACCAAAAAATTGAATGGTATTAATTGCTTTATTTTATAACTTATGAAATTAATTTGTGACTAAATGGTAAAAAAAAAAACCACTGCTTTAAAAGCCATATATGTGCACCATTATTATCTCTATTCATTGTTTTCTTTTAATAACTTATTTAGTGAAATTAGTTTGTAGCTAAATGACTAAACAAATGACTTAATTTAAGAAAAAAAAATTGTTTAACTAAAAAAATTAATAATCAAAATAATATTATATTATTTATTTTCTTTTAATAATTTAATTTGTGACTAAATGAAAAAGAAGGCAGCTCCGCTCAACATATATATAGAAATGACGATTTTCAATTAAAAAATTTTAAATATTATAGAAAAATTCATTTCAATAATAATTATTTTTTTATTTTTTCTCCAATTGTCAGTAAAAAAAAGTAACAGGTAATATTGATTACTAAACAAATAATTTCATACATTTTAATTTGAAGAAAACAAAAAATATATTATTAAAACTGTACATAGTACGAGTATACAGCCAGTGATAAATATATAGAAACGCGAAATGCACATTCAACGAACTATATGTATATTAAAATTTAATTTTTTTGAAAATAAAATAAAACATAATTTTTTCTCGCTCATCTCCACTCCACACGTTTCTTTGGGTAATTTTGGTAATAAACATTACATTTTTCCTTTTTTTAGTTAATTTTTAATAATTATTTGCTTATCGGACACACTCAACACACAAGCACATACAGAAAGGGGCTCAAGTTAGAAAATATCTTTAAAAAAAATGGCTAATCTTGTTTTCCGAATGCCATCCGCACCCAATTTGAGGGTCTTCTCAATCTCAGCCTCCTCTAACGGTGCTTTTTCCTTTAATATTTTTTTAAAATATTTTCAATCTTTATTTCTATAGTTTTTCCATCTTTATGCACAGCTCAACGATACGTGGGTTTCAGGGGCTGCTCCCGGTAACGATACTAGTAAATCACAAAATGGAGGACCAGTGATTTTGGAGCTTCCATTGGAGAAGATAAAGAGGCCTCTAATGCGAACCAGAGCCAATGATCCAAACAAAGTTCAGGACCTCATGCACAGTATTAAACAAATTGGTCTCCAGGTCCCTGTATGTCTTCTCCACTTTCACTCTCTTTAGTTAGTTTTCAATTTGTTGCTGCCTATTTTTGCTCTCTGTTTGTTTCCATTGTCCGATTTTTAGATGGAGGACTAGAGTAATTTGATTTAATTATGCTGAATTTCATAAAATTGAATTTTTGGGAGTAAAATGAATTTTCCATTCATATCATTATCAGACATGAAATTATAAATGAATTACACAGATTAAAATTTTGTGGAAGCCCCCTGGCTGGAATAAATAAATTTCATAAAATTTTGAAAATTTTCGGTTCAATTTCTAGTTTTGATTGTTTGGTCCCTTAAAAGATGTTTATTTCACGAATTCAATTTTGTGAAATTTAACATAAACTAAACAAAATTCAATCATAATTAATGAAATTATAAATGAATTTCTCAAAACTTAAATAAGTAAATTTTGAACGAAAATACCCATATTATCTTCTCTCTATCTTCTCCTTTTTTCTTCCCTCCGCTCCTTCTCTTTTTTTCTCTGTCCTCTATATCTGTCATTTTCATTTTCTTTTTTCCTCTATTTCTCTTTAAGGGTATTTTTAAAAAATATTATTACATATTGAATTCAATTCTAATTTATAACAAACAAAGATGATGTAGAATTCAATTGAATTCCACATTTAAAACTCATCATAACAAATGTAAAAATTCATTTGTGAATTAGTTCTAAATAATATCCGTTTCAAATGCATTCTACATTTTAAAATGATTTATATCAAATGAGACTTTTAATCTCTTCGAAATTATGGTATTGGAGTGGGAATGTGAAATGGAATTATATTTTAGAACATAAAAATCAAGGAGACTTCTAATTAAGGCAATATTTTGGAGAATGAAGAGAATTGAAGTTCGTAGATAAGGGGTTCTTTCCATAGTAATTAAAGCCGCAAGGCGCACTAAGGCACAAAGAGCTGCTGGAGCCTAGGCGCTAGCCTCCAGGGGAAGGCGCGTGCTTGAGTGAAGTAAGGCACAAAAAATATAAAATAAAATAAAAGAATGAAATACATAAATCTGAAAAATATATTTTAAGATATCAATCAAAAAACAAAAAAGAACAAAAGTAGAAAACATGGAAAGAAACACACATAAATCAGAAAAAACAAGTGGCAACATGACAAGTTACATTTTAAGATATTAAAGTCAAGACAGAAAAGAGTATAATCAAAAAAATTAAGAAAAGAAAAGAAATAGAAGGCAAATATAGGAAGAAAAATTGAAAGAGTTATATCTAGATGGATTAGGGCTAAAGACTAGATTGCCAAAGGTGAGTGCTAGATGAAGGAGTGGAGGTTGGATCACCAAAGCACATCACCAGTTCTTTTGTTGCATTTTATTTCTTTTATATTTATTTATTTATTTTGTGTAAGCTGATGCTGGCTAGATAGCTTTATATTGAAAAAAAACCCTAGCTGACTTGTTCTGGAAAACAAAAAATAGAAAGGCGCACGCCTCTACCCAAAGGCGATAGCCTGAGTGAAGGCGCGCCTTTAATAACTATAGTTCTTTCTTTAAATAAGGATGCATACTTGAGGAGGCGTGTATAGTTATCTAAAAGTAATGCACAAGGAATTTAGAGAGGGCAAAAGGAGTGGACAGTCTTAGGAGTTTGAGAGTGCTATATGGTTGGTGACCTTTAATAACTATAGTTCTTTCTTTAAATAAGGATGCATACTTGAGGAGGCGTGTATAGTTATCTAAAAGTAATGCACAAGGAATTTAGAGAGGGCAAAAGGAGTGGACAGTCTTAGGAGTTTGAGAGTGCTATATGGTTGGTGAGGGAAGTAGAATGATAAGGGAACCAGATAGTGTCACAATGACGTGAAATTGTTAATAAGGAATGCTAGTGAAGTAACATGTAAGTGAGTAATCAACAAGCAATGATGAGGTAGCAAAGTCTTTGAGAGGCCGAAATCATTGGTGAAAGAGTACATCGAGTCTCAAGTAGCAAAAAGATACTGAATGTGCTGGGTAGGTGAAGTGCTACTTATGGAGTGAAAGGAAGATGGCCATAATTTGGTAATGTAGGTTATAAACACTATTGTTGTTTGCGACAGATACAATGGTTCTATATGTCACAAAGAATGCATAATCTATATTTGAGTCCACTAAAAGCGGTTGAAGAGAGGTTTACTCTACTTAGGGCGTGCATGTTGATGTTTGAGCTGTTATTGTGAAAAGACTGTTCAAATTTTTGATTATAAGTTATAGAAATTTATGTTTAAGGTGAATTTCACAAATTTTAGTAGTAAAAGCTTCAAAACAGCTGAAAGACATTATCAAATTGCTTTTTCCAACATTTCAAATTGTTGATTATAAGTTATAGAAATTTATGTTTAAGGTGAATTTCACAAATTTTAGTAATAAAAGCTTCAAACCAGCTGAAAGACATTATAGATTTGGTTTTTCCAACATTTAAGATGGTACTTTTCAGAAAAAAGCAATTTTTTTTGCCATTCGTTACTATACAAGGGCTATATTACAATATCTACACTTGGGCAATGCTACTATTTAAGCAGGCTTTCACAATTACAATTTTAAATATATCATTACAAATTACATCAAAGCCCTATCATGGGTAGCCTGACCTACAAAGGGCAGCAATTACAAATTCAACGGTGAGAGGGTGGGGATTTGAATTTGGGACCTTTTGGTCCCAGGCCATCAGTTTAAAAAAGCGATTTCAACCTAATGTCAAAAAAATTCTTAATGAGCCCCCAACTGAACCTATTAGGTCAAAACTTTGGAAATCATTCCATTAATCTGAACTCGAACTTGATCTAAATAATAAATTGTCAAGATTTGTGATTGAGTTGTTTTTATGACTAATCATTTCTAGTATTGCAAGAGATGTTTGAATACTAGAAACATAGTAATCAAATATAAATGAACTTGAATATTATGCGTCTATACATTTCAATTTCTCTTCATGCACTAAAGTTTCATCAAGTGATCAAGCAATGTAATCTCACAAATTACGTTATTCACCTATGTTATGTTCCATATACTGAATGATGCATGTTTCTTTTATGTATGGAAATCTCAAAGCAATAGAGTCCTTATCAACAAGAATAATAGAGCTAAATTATGGTGTCAGTTCTTCCATTCACTCTCAATATGTACTCATTAACGACTTCTCGTAAAACCTCATTGGTTATACATAATTGGATGTAGGCCTTTTTCATCTAACTCCTCCTTTTAATCTTTAGTCATCTCCTTTGATAACTTCTCCATAATTAATGCAATCCATTTTGAGTCAAAATTACCGACATCTTGACTTGCCATAAGGCAAAACTAATATGGCTGTCATATTTTTCAATATCAGACTTTGTTGTCACCATAGTATCTCAAGTTGCTATAGAATATTAACACACTTCCTAAAACAAATAGATATCAGACCAAGAAAATCTTTTCTGATGTGGAAGATATCCATTTTGAGTCAAAATTACCGACATCTTGACTTGCCATAAGGCAAAACTAATATGGCTGTCATATTTTTCAATATCAGACTTTGTTGTCACCATAGTATCTCAAGTTGCTATAGAATATTAACACACTTCCTAAAACAAATAGATATCAGACCAAGAAAATCTTTTCTGATGTGGAAGATCAGTTTAAACTGCAACCACAGAGCATGCTCAGAATCCTTGGGCTCACATACCACTTGTTATGATATGGCTCGGCTTAATTTCACCAGTGGTTCCTCAACTATAGCCACTATTACATTGGCATTCCTAAAATTCAATTTGTTACGCAAAAATATACAAACTTCAATTAGCGTTACACAAAAAGGACTCTGTCTAATTTTCCTTTTAATATTATACGGAAACCTGACATTGGCATTATTAAATTAATTTAAAATAAAAAATTTTACCATGTCAGCTTTGCTCACCCGACCTTGTTTTGTCTCTTTCCTCCTTATGTCTTACCATAGACACTTAACACTATATCACTGTCCACCTTTTGAAGCATCCCCATTTTTAGAATAAATAAATAAGCAAAGCTTTGTAAAAAAAAAAAACAAAAGCAGCAACAAGCAATGGCCATAGTAAAAGTAGAGGAGAAGGAGCAGTTTATCCTAAATAAAAGAAACGAAGAGCTAGAAAGAGCACTCAAGGACAGCAAGCAAAGGGAAGAAATGAAGAGCTAGAAAGAGCACTCAAGGGAAGCAAGCAAAGGGAAGAGCAGATGAGAGAAGAGCTACAAAAGGCATGGCGGAGACTCCAACTGGTGGAGGAAGCGGAGGAGCGGCTTTGCCCTCAGTTGGGTGAGCTAGAAGTTGAGTCTGTTAATCAGGCGTGTGCATATAATGAATGAATCCTTTCTCTTCTGGATCGACTCTCTCAGGCTCACCATCTCTTTCATATTCAACAAATTAGCAGTTTAGATCTCTTTGACTCTTTTTATTTATACTTAAAAGAGTGTATTTTTATCTCAAATACATGAGATTTGATTTCTCTATCTGTGTTTGAAATTGGGATTGAGTGACCCTTTGGCAATTGGGTTTTAAATGCTTAAAGCATTTAAATTCTGGAAAATAGGAATTTGCCTAAGAAATACTTTTAAGGGAATTATTGTTCAGTTCAACTAATGAAATTTGTTAAAGAAACTGTAAAATATTTCTTTTTTTCGAAGATATTATGGTAGAATGCTATATTCTACTATCTAAGTTTTTGATTTTGAAAAAAAAAAGATAATCATTGAAACAAAATTTGAATTAAATGTTGGTGTGAGTAAGATCTGAGATAGAGGTTGAGCAAAAGAGGTAGAGGTTGAGGAAACGAGGTAGAGGAAAAGAAGGATAGAAAGTGATATAGTCTGTTGAGTGTCCATGGTAAGGGATAAGGAGGAGAGAGATAAAACAAGGTTGAGTAAGCAAAGTTGACATGGTAAACATTTTCATTTTAAATTATTTTAATACTGTCTATATCAGCTTTCCGTTTAATGTTAAACGGAAAATTAGACGGAGTCTTTTTTTGTGTAACACCAATTGAAGTTTGTATATTTCTGCGTAACAAATTGAATCTTAGGAATGCCAATGTAATAGGAGCTATAGTGGAGGAACCACAGGTGAAATTAAGCCGATATGGCTCTGATAGCATTGTTTAGGTCAAAAATTGGTCTAATACCACTTATTAGGATGGAAATTGGTCTGATACCACTTGTTATGATTGGGTGAAGATATCTATTTAGAATAGAAGGAAAATAGAGGAGACACAAATTTATATGGTTCAGCATAAACCTGCATCTATGGGTGAAGGAGAACAAAATTCACTAATAAATAATGAAAATGCAAAGTCCAAATGGGAGATAACATTCAAAATCTTGAATCCAAGTATATACCCAAAGCTCTCAATATTTTTCTCTAAACAATTTACGGTAATTAATTATTGAATGAAATTATCGTACCTAAACTAAGAGAAGGAAAGATGGATATATATCTCTCATGTATTTGTCTCTTCCTCACACATTGTTTGTGTCTCGCTAAGTTCTATATTTATAGGCGATGACACGTTTGAAGGTTACTCTAACTTGTTGGTTTCGTGACCGCCAATTTTCTGGCTGTCAAGTTATGAGATTTTGCTAGTGGCATGAGCTGTATGGTATTCTGGCATGAGTGGTCATTCAATGATTGGTAACCTAGTCTCGGGAATTGCATAGGTGAGAGGACAAGGGTCGGTTAAAGCATTTTGAGGGCATAGAAGATTACTTGGGTCCCTTTTGGCAAGTTGGCTATCACCTATGCATGTTCTTCCTCCCATAGGCTGTCACCGATGACAAATTATTTATGGCATAGGCTATTGCCTAATCTTTAAAATTTCATGAACAGGCAATAGCCTAACTTGTAGGCTTAAATTCAAGGAACCATAGGTTGTATTTTGCCAAAAACAATACTTTATCTTTCTGTTTTGAAACATAGATTACTTTTTCCTCATTTTTCTCTACCATTATACACTATTGTCCTTCTCTTTAAAAAAAAAAACTTTTGTCATTAAGTTCCTTCTAAAAGACATAAATACCCTTAAACCCCTCTCGCACCCAAATCTCTATCATCATCAGGGCCACTTATGGTTTCCAACCCTTCTCACACCTAGATATGCAAATTTGGCCTTTTTTAGAAGATTTCTTTGGCTTAAACAAGTGGTTTCCAACTCTCACCACTTGTGTTCCTGTTGAAGGTATATCTGCTAAACCTGGATGTGTCCATTACTATTCTGGTTTTAAAAAACTAGTTAATATGGTGATAGAATAGCGAATTAGACTAAGTAGAAACTGTTATGTATTGATCCAAAAGCAATGGGTTTTAGTTATAGCATTGTAGATGGGAATATTGGGTTTAATGAGTATGTTTCAACTGTAAAAGTGTTTCTGAAAGAACATGGTTGTAAAATTGAGTGGAAATATGAAGTTAAGCCTGCTGAAGGATGGAGATTTGAAGATTTGTCGGAGACTTAGTTTTATGAGTGAGATTTTTAGTTACACATGGAGATTTTTACTCTGGCACGAAAAGCAAATTTGAGAGGGATTTTAAGGTATTTCTGCCATTTCAGAAGGCACTTATCTGCAAAAGTTGGATTTTTTTGACAAAAGGACAATAGTGTATAACACTAGGAAAACATGGGGGATTAAAACAGTCTATTTTTCAAAACATAGGAATGAAGTAGTTATTTTTAGCGAAATATAGGGATAAGATTATCATTTTCCTTAAAGCATTTGATTTACCATAAATACGTATCTGCTCATTCACCTAAACTTGAATCTCAATCTAACCCGTGATCTGATCTTTAATTTCACCCTTAATCATTCATAAAAATCACCTGTTTTCAACTGTCTAGTTTTTGAGACAAATAAGCTGTTGGGAAAGGGGGATTATTTTTTAATGTACACATCAATATTGACATTAAACTGTTGATACCTGCTGCAGATAGATGTTCTTGACGTTGATGGAGTTTACTATGGTATGCACTCATTAAAATTTCTCATTCTAAAATCTTATAGCCTCGTGCATATATGTTTCTTTTATGTTGAAAGCTTACGGCTTGCTTTATATCATAAAGGATTCTCAGGTTGTCATCGGTATGAAGCTCACCAGCGGCTTGGCCTGCCCACAATTCGCTGCAAAGTTCGACGGGGAACAAAAGAAACTCTGAGGTTTGTTTCATGGCTGGGTAATGCATAACATTTTCTCATTGGTTTACCTAGAATTAACCTCTGACTGTTAGTTCTGTATTGCTTTTTGGTTCTATTATATGCACAGGCATCATCTCCGATGAGTTTTAGCAGATTGAACTGTCCAAGCGAATTTGCAACCCTGCTTGGATTATCTGTTTGTTCAAATTTTAGATACGCCTTTTTACAATCTTACCAATTTATGATTGATAAAGCAATCAAACTGCTGTTCTGAGATTTAATTGATATTTCTTAGAAACAATGAGAATAGAAATACCATAGGCAAACTGAACATGTAAATAAGATAAAAGTTAAAACTTCTTGTCTATTAAGTCTCTACCAACTATAATTAATCCATGGCTATGATGTGATTACCAAATCAATGTTTTTAAAACTGGATCGGACATTGAACTGGTTTGATGATTGGATCAGATCAATTCCATTCAATTGGGTTTTTCCCTTTTTTTTTATAATTAATCCATGGCTATGATGTGATTACAAAATCAATGTTTTTAATAACTGGATCGGACATTGAACTGGTTTGATGCAATTGGATCAGATCAATTCCATTTCAATTGGGTTTTTCCCTTTTTTTTTTTATTTTTTTTTTTTTTTAATTATCCACAATTATTTATATAAAATTACAAATATGTTAAAAATCATAGTATAGGTTTTGTTATAATAATTTTTCATCGCTTTATGCATGGAAAAATAAAAATAACATTTGTATTTTTTTTTTTAAAACAAATAATTATTAATATAGGAATGTAATATATATATATATATATATATATATATAACTATATAGTATATATATATATATATATAATAGAACTATATATTCTCAATTCGAAAAATTAGAAAAATTAGAGAGAACATATTTTAATTTTTATTCTATAATTAATAGTATTGATTTAAATGTCACTAATAAAAATGTTAATAGTGATTAAAATGTAATAAAATTTAAAAGGATTACAAAATAAATAAAGATGAAGGCAAAAGCTTTATTTCCTTGCCGCTTGGATGCTCGGCCACTTAATTCATACTAAACAGTACGGAACCGTGAACTGGCGTTTGGAGCACCGGTCGGATATCCGCGGTTTGATAAGGATCATGTTGCATTGAACCAGTTAGAACCAGCAATTCCAACAAATCTAAAAATTGGTGAAAATCCAATTAACCCTCCCAACAAGTATAAACGATTATAAAACAGTTAAAGCATGTTTGGTTGGATATAATGTAATGCAATACAATAAAAAATATAATGGAATTAAGATTTCATTACTATATTTGTTAATGTAATTGAGAAAATTTATAGAATATAATTACCATTCCATTTTTATGTTTGTTTGTAAATATGTAATGTAATTAAAACACTACTACCACCAAACATACCGCCATCGCCACCGCCACCGCCACTCCACTCCACCATCACAACCACCACTCCACCACCATCACTGCCAGCACAACCACCACTCTACCACCACCATCACCTCAAACACCACTCCACCACCATTATCACCTCAAATAATTTTTCATATTTGACAAATGAAAATAACAACAACCGTATCAAAGATATATATACAACCGTATCAAAGATATATATATATATATATATAATATATATATATATATTATATATATATATATATATATATATATATTCCATAAATTGAACATCATACGTTGTACCTTTAATTTTTATTTATATGAAAACAATTAAATTATGAATTTGGTTCGATATAACAACTTATGACTTATTTTTGGAACATATATTCGGTATAAAGTAAATTTTTTTATATGAAACTAAAAACGTCAGGCAAGCATTGAATTACTACAGTTTTGATATATTTATTTCATTTTATTTGGTCAATATACATAATAATTTTTCCAACACAACAAGTTCGGTATAAGTAAATTTTTTATATGAAACTAACGTCAGCAAGATGTGAATTACTACAAGTTTGATAAATAATTTATTTCATTTTATTTGGTCAAATACATAATAATTTTTCCAAACAACAAGTTTGATAAATAACTGAGTTCCAAATTGCTCACTTCTAAGCATAGCCTGTCTATTTTTTAAAATAATAGAAATTTATTTCAATTTTCTTGCGGATTTAGAAACAATAATCAATATTATTTGAATAACAAATTTTATACCCTTGTATAAATCTTTTTATTTTTGTGCTGCTTTGTTTGTAATTAGCTCAATACCAATATTCAATTAAAAAATTCATTATTTTAATTTTCAACTTATTATTGATTTGTTAAAAAAGAGAGTAAATCAAACTTGATTATTTTAATTAAATTCAAACGAGTTTTATTAAACCATTTAAACTTACTTATGGCATTTTAGCAAATATAATACTATCAGTAAATTTTCGTAAATCATAAAACCAAAACCAAAATTATTGTAATTAGAAATTTTGTAAATGAGAAAAATGCCTTATTATTAATAAGTTGAATATTGTCAATTGAGTCGACTATTGGGATTGAATTTAGTAACTGTGATTTTACCACTTACTATTTTTACATATTCAAATGCATACGCGAAATGTAAGAGCTAAATACATAGGTGGTGGAGTGGTTGAGGTGGGTGGTGATGGTGATAGTGGTCGTGGTGGTTGAGGTGGCGGCGGCGGCAGCGGCGCAGTGGCGATGATAGTTGAGGTGATGGTCGTGGTGGTGGTGATGAGAGTGGTGGAGTGGTGGTGGTGATGGTCATGGTGATGGTGGTAGTAGATTAGCATTAGTGGTGGAGCGGTGGTGGTGGTGGTGGTAGTGGATTAGCAGTAGTGGTGGAGCGGTGGTGGTGGTGGTGGTGGAGTGGTGATGGTGGATTAATGGTGGTGGTGAGCAGTGGTGGTGGTGGTGGTGGTTGAGGTGGTGCTAAGGTTGGTGGAGCAGTGGTGGTGGTAGTGGTGGTGGTGTGATCAAGCGATGGTGGTAGTGATGATTAAGGTAGTGGTGGTGGTGATACAGTGGTTGAGGAGGTGGTGGTGGTGGTGGAACGATGTTGGTGGTTGTGGTGGTGAGATAATAGTGTTAAATAGCCTTGAATGATAAAGTTTTTATTGGGGTAGTTTGATGTAATTGGTATTGCATTTGCATGATGTAATAGATAATACATGTGTTTTTTCATGTAATGAATATTACATCAATTTAAGTAATGAAGATTACATATGTAATTTCAATTATATTATATTGTCCAAAAAAAATTTAACCAAACAATGTAATCAATTATGTAATATAATCTCCGTTCTATTACATAGTTGATTATATCAAACCAAACATGACCTTAGTTTTAAAGATATTTGTAGAGTTTACATTTTTTGTATTTATTGTAAACACCTTTTTATTTTCTTTCATCCTCACATCAACTATTTCTCTCTACTCTTCAATCTATCTAAGCTCTCTAGTTTATAATTATTCTCAAACAATCTCTTCAATCTCTAAATATTCTCTCTAATTTTCTTTATATTCAATTTTTTCAATTTGCATATTATTATTCTCTAATGGCAAGTAGAGAAAATTCAAGTTCCATGAAGGGTAAAGGAAAGGTTGGAAAAACACACAATCCAATCTTATCTATGCATATAAACAATATTTTTGACTTCACCCTTGACCAATTCGATTTTGAGAGAATTTCAAATTGAAAATTCTTTCATAATTTTTTTTTTTTTTTAAATTTGAACCAAAAATGCCCTCTACTTATTAGATTTTAAAATTATGCGAATCGGCTGGAAAACAGGCTAGAGAACTATAAGAATTAAAATTGTTAAGAAACCGAAACCAAAACCAGCCAGTTCCAAACCTAAATTGAAGTTGTTATCGGTCTATTACAATCCTTAATCAACCAATTCTAAACTGGAATTGAAGCCGTCAATTTTCATTGGGTTCTAATTCCATATTTTTTGGGACCGAAACTGGTAGCTCCGGCATCGTGGTCACCTCTAGTTCTATCTGATTTTTATAGCTTTCGATTTTTGAAATCAAATCAAATCAGATTAATTATGAGTTTTCAAGTTGACCAGTTCCGGTGGTCAGTCCACCAAATTATTGGAAAAGGTTTAATTTTTATTTTGAATTCACATGCAAGAATTCAAATTGAATTGAATTTTCATGTAAGAATTATTTCAAACACTCATTAAATTAATAATGAATTCAGTTTTTATTTTCTTTTCAATTATATTTAATAATTTATTTAAAAATTAGCTCTCATTGAGAAAGGGTGTAGATAACTTTTTAAATGAGCATATTAAATTTAATTGTCATGAACTCCAATTTTTGTATACTGTACGGAGATGCTTCTACTTTCTCATGTTTTCATTTAAAAAAAATTAAGAAAAAGAAACAACTACACACTTCCTAATCTCCTTAGACAGAACCATTGTTTTTTTTAGAAAGCATGGTAAACGAAACAAGTTGCTCATGAGTTGCTGGAGTCTCAGCTCTATAAAAACTTGCTCGAGCCTATTTAACAAACTTATTGAGTTGAACTCAAACCAAATTATTGAACTCGTTTAGTAAACTAGCTAAGCTCGAACTTAGATCATTAGCTTGCGAGCTGGCTCACGAGTCGAGCTCTAAGGTGAGCTCACGAGTTAACTTTATCGAGCTAAATAGAGCTCACGAGCTAGATCAAAATCAAAATCAGAACCTATATTAAAATGATGTCATTTTGGTTTAATAGATTTCCAATTCGAACTCAGCTCGTTTATGACTATCGAGTTGAGCCCGATCCGAGCTCAAACTTGGCTAATTTTAGATGACCTGAGCTCAAACTTGAGTATATCCTCATCAAACTGAGCTCGATTTCACGAAAGTTCAGTTTGACTCGGCTTGTTTACAACCTTGAACATAATTAGCACTAAAAGAGGGAATAAAATGTATTTGATGTCTTGGTACATAATATTCTCAAATCCAATCACTTCGTTCTTTATTTATGCTATCCAAACAAGAAAAGAATGGAGTATTCCCTCTCCATCTGCCACAAATAGAATTCTTCCACACCTGATTATAGAAAGAATCTATAGTTTCCCTACTGACGGAAATTCCAGCTACTGACATTCTCGCTAGCTCTTGGCCAGTTCCAAAACCCAACAAGATTCTCTGTGCTTGTGCTTAAAGGGTCTTGATGTCAACCAAAGGGCCCATTTCAAAGGAAAAATCAGAACACTTTTTACAAACTTAGATAAATACATTCATTTCACAGATGAAACAATACAATTGGATGGGGGATAAATCCAGGATTCAAGATGGTGATGGTTCTGCTCCATCGTGGAGAGCACAACAAACAGTTGCTTTGTGATGGCCTTGGTAAACCCTGATATCTTCACCAGTTTGCATGGACCAAAGCCTTGCTGTTGTATCAGAAGAAGCTGTATAGGACAAAATATCATATAAAATAGAAACTAAGACAAAAAAAATTGTCGGTAGAACGATCCTAGTCTCAAATTGCCAATGAAAATTGAAACTTCGCTGTAGTAGTTACATCAAACAATTGACTATTTAAGTCCCATTAGCACAACTTTTCACGGTAACACAGAACAAGGAGATAAAAGAAACAGATGACTTGGTGTCCACACTAGTTCTTCAAACAACTGCACTAGTTTTGCAGCATCACAGAATAGAGAATAGAACAGTTAACGGAGTATAGATAATCACCTGTTATTAGGTAGGCCCCATCTACTGAAAAAACACAGTCCCATACCCACCGTTGATGCCCTGGAGATACAGAAAAATTAGTGTAGTTTCTTGACAACACTATTTATCTTCTTTTAATACTAAATAACAAAAGAATAAGCAATCCAAAAGATTGCTCTTAATGACTACCTATTAGAGTTTTCTCCAATGTAAACCCATCAACGTTCCATATCTTGACAGTGTGATCTGATGATGCTGTTGCCAGATATCTGACAGACACAAGTACCAATAATGATCAGTTTGGAATCTTATAACAAGATCTCTGCGAAGAGGCATAAGGTAAACAGCAAAAGTAGCAGAACATGTGAGATCCTGATAAGAAAGAAATAAGAAGAAAAATATTCCACGCTACAGAAATAGAACCTGTGGGGTTCACAAAATTCAGGTGAAAGGAGACATTTGAGAATGTATTCATCATGTGCTTGCAGCTTGTGAAGTGGCTCAAAGTTGGTCATAGTCTGTAAGAAGACAGGTTTGGATGAGATGATGATGCAGTCAAAATATTATGGAATATTAAAGTTGGATAATTGGTACATTAAGGAGCTACCTGGGTCCCTCGCAACAAGCGCCACACATAGCATGTTCCGCGATTATTAGCAGCAACTACCAAGCTACCATCCCACATAACTGTTAGAGACCTTACAGCAGTGTCCACCTCTGGTACCTAAGTTCAGACTGAATCATTATGACAATTTTCAAATGTTTCTCTTTTTAAGTAATTATGGTAACTTTATGCAAAAATGTGCCTAACAGCAATTAATAGGCATTGCCTTAGAAAGTGGGAGAGAGAGGGAGGCCAAATACATCCACTTGGCTTTCCCTGACAGTGACAGGTCTCCTCGGTTGGAAGAAATCCATTTCAAAGTATGATGCTAACATTGGCAGATAAGTTTTGAAGATTGCTGAATTAGATTCCAAAATTTTGTTTGATTTCCCACTATCTTCTCCTAGTTTCCTCAGTTTGAGCATGTACACTCACATTATGTGTGCAGGAACAAACTTGCAAAAATCAACCATATCAATATATTCTGATACGCAATGAATTAGTTATCCCCAGTTTCTAAAGACTGTTCATCCTACTATATGGTTGTGTTTTTTGAACTTATCATCATTACTCTGATGGTCAAATTCACAAAAGCATTATGACATAAGTGAACAACTTACCTAATATTCAATTCACATTTTGCCACATCCGCGTTGACAAAAGACTGATGCATAACTTACATCGCATTGTTCAGAAGATCACCTGTTATATCTCACTGCATTGCTTTTACCATCGCATGCGTACAATGGAAATATCAGGACCAAGTTCCCATAGTAAGGATAAGCCTATAGTTGCATAGTAAAAACAAAGTTTGCTCTAATAGCAAATGTCATGGTGCTAGGTCCTGTAACCATACTCCCCATGCGGCACATAGACTTCCCCTCGATTTAGGCTAGTCAAGCACTGAAAACAAAGATATGCATCCAACTGAAAGCACCAAACAAGCGACTATCTAAATATGGCCAAGCCCAAGGCCTTGTGGGCGTCGTATGCCACACATATTTCCTTTTACATTAGACCTCAAGGTGAACAGATATGCGTAGTATGGGCATCTCAACCCCATAGTCCCACAGGGCTCCTCCTGTATGCAAACATTATTCCTTCTTGCTTGAGTACAATGCCTACATCCTAGGGTACCACCAGGGGGCTCTCTTAAGGCCTAATGCCATCCATTAGACCTCAAGGTGGCCAGGCCCAAGGCCTTGTGGGCGTCGTATGCCACACATATTTCCTTTTACATTAGACCTCAAGGTGAACAGATATGCGTAGTATGGGCACCTCAACCCCATAGTGTCCACAGGGCTCCTCCTGTATACAAACATTATTCCTTCTTGCTTGAGTACAATGCCTACATCCTAGGGTACCACCAGGGGGCTCACTTAAGACCTAGCGCCATCCATTGGCCTTAGGGCGGCACAGAGCATGACGCCAAATGGTTACCCCTTGGTAGGAGGGTCCTAGATTCCACCTCTAACAAGAGAATACATCATTAGCTTTCAGCTAACTCACCCCATAATTATGAAAAATATAAACAAATATGAACGTACTATATTGCCCTCATGGGGATTGAAGCTCAATCCATCACGTAAATGATTGCTTGGCTTTTAAGTACATCTATTACCAGCAAAATTCAGCAACACTAATTCTCATGCAAACACAAGTTGTATTACCCCCCAAAATAAAAACATAAGAGAAGGATATAGCAACTCGTATACATATACCAAAGTTTGTAAAATCTATAAGGTAATGCAAGCCTTTAGAGCGTACCAATTCACAACTACATGAATTTGCTGTCAAATCCCACACGCGAATGTTCCCATTTTGATCCCCAGATATCAACTCAGTCTACAAAGAAGAAGAAGAAGAAGAAGAAGAAGAAGAAGAAGAAGAAGATTAGAGTAACCACAAACACATTAGGTATTTTTGTGGGAAAATGGTACTTTGAAAGACTGTAACTTATAAAGACCACTACAAAAAAAATATACTTAAATAGAAAGATACACAATAGTCTCCAAAAAAAAAAAAAAAAAAAAAAATTAGAGTTAACCACAAACACATTAGTATTTTTGGTGGGAAAATGGTACTTTGAAAGACTGTAACTTATAAAGACCAGCTACAAAAAAAATATAGCTTAAATTAGAAAGATACACAATGTCCTCCAAAAAAAAAAAAAAAAAAAAAATCTCATCTATGTGATGTCCATTGATAAATAATTTTTTGCTTGCAAGTTCCTGGAAAAAAAAAAAAAAAAAAAAAAAATCTACTATTGATGTCCAATTATAAATAATTTTTCTTCAAGTTCCTGGGGCTAATAAAAGTCAAAAACCCTAATCCCATATATCAAACATTACCTAAAAAACAGTCACTAATACTGATACCAGCTAGAGAAGCTAAATGGTTGTTGGGGAAACTAAAAGAAAAACTCACTTTTATTTGTAGCACCTAAGAGATACTAAAGAGTGGGGAATGTGAAAAAATGTCCCACCTGGTTTTTTAAATCAAATTTTGAAGAATACATCAAACTAAAGAGACTAAAACACGTCTTACAGTTCCTCTCCAAAATTTCATGCTGCAAGTATTTCTTCTTTCGTTTTCTTAATGTTTATGATGCAAGAAGTAAGCAACTTTTCTGACAACCTAAAAACTAGGGAAAAGTAGGCTGGCACATGAAGTATCATACTTCACCATGACAAATACAGCAACAAAAACAAATTTGAATTCTTTCATGTCCCTTTTGCATAATGGCCAAATCTTTTTTCTGAAGAAAAGTTGCGATCTACAAGATAAAAATATAATAACTCTTCATTACAAGAGCCTGGACTACCATTTTCCCATTTCTTATCCTGAACACTGTTGCAACAGATGGAAAGCGATCCATATTAACTAACCTGATTTGGGTGTAGGACAACAGTGTTAACAGCTGCACGACTTTCATACTCCCTTTGACAACCTGGAGCTCTGCAGCTGACTTTGGATGAGAATTGAATCTAAATAATATCCTAAACAAACATTGAAAAAAGAAAAAAGAAAGAAAAAGAAAAAAGAAGAAAAAAAAAACAAAGTAAAAAAATATAATTTCCAAGGAAAGCGTACCTCAAATCCCAAATCTTTACAGTGCCATCCTCAGATCCCGAATACATCCAGTTTCCATCACATTGAAAACCCACTGCCATGACATTATTTGTATGTGAATCATAGCTTCTCACCTGACACATTACACAAGAAATCCTCATTATCTAGAGCAGAAAAATAAAACATATTTTGGGAAAAAAAAATAGATAAAAAGGGAGCAGAGGTATACTGGTTGAGGGCTGTTTGAGTTGACATCGAACAACCTAATCTGAGGATTACCAGCAGCAGCCAAGTACCGTTTATCTGGGTTTATCTCAAGCCGATTAACTTGCTGTACCCACGATATCAGAAAACAAAACCCAATAAAATGACAGAAGGCCATCAGAGTCAAGTTGGCAGTAAAAATGTTCAAAACAAGAAAATATCTGATGCCCAAGAAAATTAACTGTGTTCCACCAAAGTAATGCATTTCATAAACTAGTATTATGCATCTAAAAGCAAAACAGAATCAACAAACACATAAAATCTCAAATATAGTTTTCACTATTTGATTGCAGACTAGCCAAAATATGAGCAATGGAAAATACAAAATACAGCCCTGTAACCAGAAGTCCTATCATGCATAGCCAGTAACCCAACAAGAGTCCAAATCAAACAACCTTAACCAAACTTTAATTTTCCAACAGACCTCAATTTGGCATAAAAAAGATCCATAATTCCTCATAAAATAAAAGAAAAGTGTCGATCAAAATAATAATAACACAAGAAAAATAAAATACCGAATCTGGGTATTGGATTGTACGGTAGCAGCGACCGCTTTTGGCCTCCCAAAACCTAATAGTATGATCATAGCTAGCAGTTGCAAGTATCACAGCTGGTTGTGTCATCTTAACAAATAACAATTATTTCATTAACAGAAACATTAATCAACCAAAACAAAGAAATTGGGATTGAACAATTATTCCCAAATTTTTAAAGAAATAAAAAATAAAAAAGCAATTTTTCTTTCAGTGAAGAGAGATCCAAGACGAGTAAGAGTTGATGGAAAGTTAAACGTATACATATATGAAATAGAAGTAACTATAAAGGCGGGAGAATGTAAATAAGAATTAATTACCTCAAAATCATGTGAAGAATATGAAAATATATGGAAAAGATGGAATTATGAATCAGGGTTTTGAGGGTTTACTGAGAGTTGCAAAGAAAGAGGACATAACATTTTTCGGTTCTCTCCCTCTTTTAGGGAACTTGAAAACGGACAGTACCACAGGCGATTCGATGGACTCAGATGTTTTTCGGTGTTTGTGTTCCGCCGTATTCAAGTTATTTGTTAAATTAACTTTATAAAGTTTTTTCCGAACTCGTCTAACGCTGTCCCATGAGCAGTGTTTTTGTATACATACACTTCAACTTAATTTATATTATCATTTATATAAAATTTATTATAACTATAATATTACCTAATAAATATATTTTAATATATATAGATAGACATAAAAATAAAATATTATATATATCATTACATCATATAACAATTAAATTAACTATAATATACCTTAATAAATTTATATTTAAATAACATATAGATAGAATTAAAAAAAATCTATCTATACTAATATTTTTAAGAATTAAAATTCTTTAAACCTGTTGAATCACATATATAACCATATATTATATACTTAATATCATAATAATATATAATATATAACTACCTATAATATATATAATATACTAAATAATATATTATTTTTTGTTTTTTTTTATTGAATAGAATTTTCGTAGATGAAGAGACGGTTAAGTAATTATATTCATTTGAAAATTTTATTATAAAAAAATACTTACTTTTTTTTCTATTTATCGCTCTTTCTAAATAAAATATTTAAATTTATGACAAAATATATTAACTCAAATACTTTAAAAAATAAATATATAAAAATTATTCAAAATGTCCTTTACGCTTTATTTACTAAAAAAAATAAATGTTCATACTGTTTTTCTTTAAAAGGGGGGCGGGGGGGGAACAGAAAATATCATGTTGTTATATGTAAATATCCCTACCCACTATTACATCTTTGAGAAAAATTAACATTTCCGGTATAAAAATTCTAAATTTCTTTTTACATGGTTTTACCACATTACATCTTTGAGAAAATAAATTTCCGGTATTAAAAATTCTTAAATTCTTTTTTAATGGTTTTTCCTTATATATTTGAAATATTTACATTGTTTTATATAATAATTTAGTTTAAACAAATGTTAAAAGAAATAGTTAGGGATATATTCTGGTGTTGCAATAAAATAAATATTTACATGTATTATATAAATTAAAGTTTAAACAAATACTCCTGGATACCATTAAAGATAAATATGATTGTCGATTGATTTAGTAATTAATTCATTATGAAATTAAGAAATAATCGTATGTAACCGAGACTTAATCAAACATAAACTTTTTAAATCAATTAATAAAATTAATAAAAAAAAGTCAATGTTATAAAATTAGTAGATGTCTCATGTAAACTAGAAGTCTATATTTAAAATTCGCCTAAAAGTCTATTTAGTGTTGTAACATCCTAACACTATATATCCAAGGATAAATAGTGTTGAAATGCTACATAACATATCCTACAGATCCATTAACAGAAATATAAGTCGCACAATGTATTAAACAGTAAAAACTAGTATAAAAAAATTTCTCACTTTTCACAAACAATCATATAAAACATGACCAAACATAATTTAAAAGTTACTTAATACATGGTGGACATTAATGAGTTTAAACTCCTACAAAAAATATTTACAAACTGAGAAGTGACATGCAGACACAACTAATCCCGACCTTTGTTCCATTTCTGTCGGTCTGAACAGATGGAATTCTGGCTGCTAATGCCTTCTAGTGTCAAAATCTAGAAAAACATTAGCATTTTATATGAGATGTCACTCAATGAGCAAAACCATCATAATAATTATTAACTATATAAAAAATATCAAGCATCTCAATCAAGGCACATGGTACACTTCCAATAATTCAGAACATCTCAAACTCCTCGGGCTATCAATGTCTAGCATCAATCGTTACCAGATAACAGTAAACATTCACCATTCCATTCATAGTGAAAGAGTACAGATATTATGTCATTGTCACTAATAGAAATAAGAGTAGCTGTTATATACCATCATCACAGATGTGATATTACAGAAGTTTAACTCGAAAGCATGATGCAAATAATTGTCAAATTAATTATGTTATGACTTATCAAACTAAACTCACCCCGGTTATCAGATAACAGATTTTAAATATCAAATTTAGCTGACCAGCTTTCACATCAGATATTTTAAGCACGTAGCTCCAGATTCAGATTTTGAGCTTATAACTCTAGATAACAGATTTATGAGCATGCAGCTCTACATAATAGATTTATAAGCACGCAGCTCTACATAATAGATTTATGAGCACGCAGCTTCAGATAACAGATTTATGAGCATTGAGCTCCAGATAAGAGATTTATGAGCACGCAGCTCTAGATTATAAATTTATGAGCATGCAACTCCAGATAACAGATTAGATTCACAAGTTGGTAATGACAGTCATAACCTCCTTTTATCTCATATGCAGAATTTGACAGATTTGCAAACACAGATTAGGCTCATCGGCCTCAGTGATGCATACCTTTTTTCTTAGCTTACCATTTTCCAGGATAAGAACCATGTTCTTGTCATAGCAATATTAGATATGGCACGAGCCACAACAAATATTAAAAGCTATCATTCATTGTATACAATTAAACATTAGATGCTTTTACTCACAGTATGTAGTCCAGTACTATCAAGGCCTCAAAGAGCATCCTCCTTCACCTCCTTCTAGGACCATTTTACCTATATGGATAAGCAAGCATCTCAATACTCATTTAGGCATTTAATTAAACACTTAGTGTGCATGACTTAAATGCTTAACATTTTTATCTCTCTTTGTAATTGAGGTCTATTGACGTGTGATTTTATGCCCCCACCTAACCCAATGATGATATGAGGATAAGAGATAAGACATCACGATCAACCAGAAGTGTTTAAACTAAAAAATTGAATCAAACCGGCCCAAAGGAGTCTGACCCGCGTTAGGGTTGCGTCACGCAGCTATTACCTGCGTGACGGCACTCTTAGTCGCGTCACGCATGACCCGCGTTAGGGTTGCCCTCAACGCACGCGTATTACCTGCGTGACGGCACTTCTTTAGTCGTCGTCACGCAGCTCCTAACGGCGGCTGACAACCTTTGGCGAAGCTCCCGTGCAACGGCCGCACTTTTTATGATACCGACCCAACGTACGAAAACAGTAATGCGACATCACGCAAACTTACGTTGCGTCACGCAGGCTTCAAAAACCTGCGTGACGCACTATTTTCTGTTCACCTAACCCAAAAATACAAATTTTACACTAAAAAAAACGGACTTTTGACACTTTTCTCTTCCCATTTCTCTAAGAATATAATGTCTCTGAGTTAAGGTTTTTCATAAACGGCTAGGAGTTCTTCCTCAAAAACTCAAGTAGAAACTTGAGAATATCAAGTCATAGATATTTAATATTTAGATTTAAAATCAAAAAGTACAAAAAGATAAGAAGAGGAAAAGAGAGGAAAAAAAGAAAAAAAAGAAAACGATTTATTTTGTGAAAGAACTTAGTGACCACACTTCTTGGGTCGTGAAGCATTGTCTCTGAGCGAATCCAAGTGCACGCAATCCTCAAATCTGAGGGCTAGGTAACCATTTTAACTTTTCTCTTTCATTTCTAGTCTTTTACTCCTTAAAAATCTTATTTTCATAGTATTTAGTTGGTCTGTTATTGATTAGACGTGATTTTGCCCATTGTTGGACCTTTCTGAGTTAAGTTTAACTATTAAAGAACACGTAAAAAGAGTAGTTTGAAAGGTAGTTGCGGACCAGAGCAGCCGCGTCACGCAGCTAGTACCTGCGTGACGCGACTGCTCATGTCCAAAAGCCCTTAACCTGGACTGGACCCACTGCGTGACGCAGTTTGTTCGTGTACTCAGTTTTCTATTTTGTCTTCATAATTTTATTTTTAATGTTTTGCTTGACATGAATAATCAATTATTGCCTGAGGATTTTTAAATAAATCACGAAAACAGTTCCTGTCACGTGCTAAGGAGTGATCCGTCACGCGACTGTTCTTCATAGGAACAGCTGCGTGATGCGGCAACTATTCCAATTTCCAGGACAATAACTAGAGTTCCGTCACGCGACTGTTCTTCATTAGAACACCCGGTGACGCAACTATTCTAAGTTCCAGAATAAAATGACAAGGAGTTTCCGTTTCAACGCGGATGTTCTCATAGAACAGATGCGTGACGCGACTTGCCTTTAAATTTCAAAACATTTTGTTTATTCTCATGTTTAATTTCATGTCATTTAAGGTAGATTTTTGATCTTAATTCGGAACAATAATCAATAATGGGCAAATATATGTTTTAATCAAACCATCAATTAATTTATTATGATTATGAGATTTTAAGGTTTTTTGTTTATTATTTGATTATATTATAAACTCGGTTTGTGCCGCCTTTTAACATAAGCAAGAGCGGGTTCTTTTAATTTATTTGATAGTGTTATTATGGATGAATGGGTGGATGTGATGATTAATTTAATGATGAATGCAATGATGAATCTAGTTTGGGACGATTAATTTAATTTTCACATAGGAAACTCGGTTTGGTTTTATTCGGGTTGGTTTTAGGTAAATAATCGGCTTTTTCTAAAATAAAATCAATTTAGAAATCGTAGGTTAAAAGAGGCGGTTTTCCGGGTGTCGGTTTTCCAACGGACCGACCGTACTACAAATTCCCTTACCTAGAACCTCTGGTTCGCATGATCAGTGTTTTTAAATTAATTTTGGCCTTAAATAAAAATGGTTTAAATGGCAGTCACTTTATAAAATAAAATTAGAAAAACGGTTCCATTGCCGGAAAAAAATGGGTGGGACTCAAAAAATATTTTAAGACCGATTTATCGGCATCGTACAACCAAAAGGATTTTTATCACCTTCTTCCAAAACAATAATAAACAATAGAATAAATAAAAAGATGTTTTCCGAGGTCCTTCCGGGGTTTTAAGGGATCTCACATTGGGGCGAAAACAGTTTGGCGACTCTGCTGGGGATTTTGCACCCATTAATCCCTGGTTATTTTTAAATTAAGTGGTTGCAATTAGGAATTGACTCTAAAAAGCCTACTATTTCTAAATAAAAATTGGTTAGAAAAGCCGATGGAAAATTGTTTAATCGTCCGTATATGTTTCATTGCTTTCCTTTTCTTTCTAGGATTTTTGCATACATCCGCATTCCTTTCTTCTCACCTCATT